TCCCTCATAAAGAGCAGGCCTCCTCTATCTCCCTAATGGCCTCCATGACCCTACTCCTTACTCTCCTACTCACCAGCTGGTTCCTCATCGCCTCCCTCATCCTCATTCTTGCCCTTGCCATCTTCTTCCTCAAGGAGACCTACGCCATCTGACTACAAGTCAACTGAATTCCCACTCCCGTCACCACCCCCATTGCTGAACAAGCTCTCAACTGGGCAAACAACGGAACACAAGTAACGTCCCCAGCCAAGCTAACCCCTACACCATTTACTGACTTACTTAGTGGTGAACCAAGTCACCCCTCTCGTCACCGCCACCCTCGTTGCCGCCGACGACCACCCCCACCTCCTTCTCCTCACCCTACTGGGGTGCTTCCTCACCACCCTCCTCGCCATCCTTGCCCTCGCCCTCATTGTCCCCCTCACCCTTTGCACCACAATCTGCCATCTGGAATGAGAACACCAGTGGGCATTCAACATCGCCGCCACTGCCCAGTGCCCCCTCCCGCATACCACGACCACCCTCCCCGTCATTGCTGCCAACCACAACAGTAACAACCCAACACAGGTGTACTTTGAGTACATCAGGGAGCATCAAGATTAGTGTCTGGGGGGTTTCTTTGTCTGTAGTACTGGCTGGAATTTGTATTCTCTGTCTAGTTTTTTCAAGAAAATTCCTTTCCCACACTTTCTCCATGCCTGCTGAGTGTAACACCCATGCCAGAAACAACAATGAGGCTTCTAATCTGGATCCGTGCCGTCGCCCTCTGGCTCCTAGGCACAACAATTCTCCAACAGCTGGTCCCCAGAGAGAGGCAACTCCTTACCCTTCCCACCTCCAAACTCTAGAAGAGCGCTTCACGGCTGGAGTAATAGAGATGCCAGTCCCTCAGCATCCCATCTTGAGCTTCCCTTCTCAACAAGAATCTGATGACTCCTCCTTAGAGTTCCTTGATGAAGGTGGTTTCCGCTACCCATTTCCCCCCTTCCTGCCAAATGTCACTCGCCAACCCTTCCTCATCCCAGGACCCCCTGACTCATCCAACAGTGATGCCGTGGTCTTACACCAATTCCCTGGACCCCTGGAAGTCCCTCAGGAATCGGAAGCCACCACTGGATCTTACCACGTTGCCCCTGCACAGGTTTTTCCATCCTCGTCGCCAATGAACATCTTGTCTTCTCCCAACCCTGACAGCCCCCTCGCTGCGTCCACCGACTCACCCAGTATGCCACCTCTCGCTTCAGATGTCTCCGACAATGGTAGCCTCGACCACGTTCCCAATCTATGGCTCTTAGTAGATGTCAGCAAATATGTCACCACATCAGAAGGACACAGTAGCAACCCTCAGGAGTTTGTAGTTTACAGCAACGACGTAATCCAGCGAATTTCCAACGATGTCACCTGATACTGGCGATCCCTTCCATTCGACACCTCTACCCCTGTTCAAGATGTCAATCCCTTGGAGTGTACACTGCCCTACTTTCCTAGAGCCTACACCACCACTGTCACTCGGCCTCCTATGAGAGTTCCCATTGATGGAAATCTGGCCTTTGGACTACAACGAGTATCGACAACCCCAGCTGATGTCCTTAGGATGGCAGAACCTGTGGGGAATTGGAATCAATTGGACAAAGAATGGGAGGAGGATACTTGGGAGTACCTGCTGATGTGAGACAATAACCTGTTGGAAAGTCTTTGGGCCTCGCTACAAGACATCAAGGATCCTGGAGTAACCGATGAAGTTGACCATTTCAGGGCTGTCGATGCCAAAATCAATTTACTATTGGCTGCACGATGATCAGTGGGGGCTGAACTCATCCATGCTCAACAGGAGATGGACCAGTGCCAAGCTCGTCTTAAAGTGACCAACCTGGAGGAACGTCTTGAACAGCATGAGTTCTCCATTATCACTCCCCCTTCTGGTGCCATGCCCCATCACCTTTGCTTCTGTACTAAATGCAAAACCGATGGTCATCTTCAAAGTGAGAGTTGGCACTGGTTGTGTTCTTATTGCGGCCTTCTACATCCTCATCATAAATTCCGCACCGATGCCGACGTGAGGCCCGGACAACTTTCTTGCTCAACTGATGAACCTGGGTATTTACAGGAGCGTCATGCTCAATGGAAACTCTAACAACAAATCTAGAGAGGGGGGTAATGTTACAGCTTGGAGGGGGGTTTCTTTCTTTTCCTAACTATTCATTGTTGACTCTGTAACTGTATGACTGATCCCATCAACTGATGTGTTTCACCTACATCAGTGTTTCATATCCATCGTGTTTCACTTATATCATATTTTACTTACATCACATTTCACCTCTATCATGTTTCATCGTCATCACTGATACAACCCAGTGAAACCTGTTTCATGTACATCACTGATCCAACTCGGTGTTTCTTACTTATTGAACTCTATTCGCTTTGCCTATTTAAGTAGCACTGCTTCCGCTACTGTACCTCAGTTTTGTCCTCTTGTTCTCTACGTACCTTCATAGGGACATCTCTCTAGTAATAGACCCAGTTGTCTATTCCAGTTCCAGTCTCAGTCTGAAGCTTTGTCTTCAACCAGTATACGCCCTCAAACT